TTAAATTTTAATTACTTATGTGTATTCTTCATAATTTTTAAATTATTTAAATTAAGTATTTTATATCAACATTTTATTCAATAATATATCACTAATATATATATATATATATATATATATATATATATATATATATATACATATTAATAACATATAATATTATTTAATTATTAAATAAAATTTAAATAAAAAATATATAAGGATAAAATATAAACAATTAAAGTTTTAAAATTAAATTGTAAAATTGAAAACACATTTAAACTTATAAAAAAATATTATAGTATCCTACCCTAATCCAAAATATCGTTCGTGAGGTAATATCTATCTACTACAGTGATTAATTATTTGAAAATAAAACTGAAAAAGTAAGGTGGCTTCAACTACAGAATATATACAATACAATAAGTCTTCATGATATAGGACTTTAAACAGTTGTCGTTCTGTTGTTGTATAGTTGTCGTTTTGTTGTTATTAAGAATGTTGTTTTATCTAATTTTTGTTTTGTAATTTCGTTGTCGTATTAGAGGCAGTTGTTAATAAATAAGAAAAGGTAATTCTGGGAATGACAGACATTTTACTGCAAACAATTCTCAATTCTCTTAATTCAAGAGATTTTCGAATTCCATTTTTTCATTGGAGTTCCTATCTTCACTTAATTCTTCGGGTTAGTCCTCTTTCCCTAGAATTACTAGTATCAGTGGTATCAGCTTCGCACCTTTTAGAGGCATTATGGCAAATGCAACTACAAATTAGGCCGCAATACGCGAACAAGAAGAACGGTTGGAGAACCGTGTCACAACGTATTTGGAGGCAAGATTTATGGATTCATCCATGGATAACTAAGTTCAAGAATGCATCAAAAAACACAGAGATGCTTCGAAAGTGCCACTGTCAGGCCATATTCATGTCCATATTCATGTGGCACGAGGTTGGCTCGAATTGAATTTCTTTGTTTTAATGGTGATGCGGTGAAACAATGGATTTATTGTCGTGAGACTTATTTTGCAATTGATCAAATACCTAAAGATGTTAAGTCCAAATTAGTTGTAATTCATTTTGAAGGAAGAGCATTACAGTGGCATACATCTTGTATGAAATCACTCCCTATTGATAGTCTACCACGTTGGCCCGAATTTATTAAGAATCTAATTGAACGGTTTGGGGAAGTCTGTGAAGATCCGATGGCAGATTTGATGCACCTTCGACAAAAAGGAACATTACTAAATTACCATGAGATTTCGATGCAATAGTTTTCAGATTGGAGCTGCCTGAGGAGTATAAACTAAGTTGTTTCTTAGGAGGTTTAAAGCAAGAAATTCAGATGATTGTGCGAATGTTTCAACCAACAAATGTTCTGAAGGCCTTTCAATTAGCCAAGTTATATGAATCTGCTGCCATTAATTCATACAATCCAAAGAATCTACTGAAAATTCCTAAGTCAAACTCTGCTATCAACCCAATATTGCCAAACCCATCCTCTAAAACCTTAGATGTCCAAAAGCCACACGTACAAACACAAACACAAACCAAGACACAAGCCTATAGGAATCTCACTGCAGCTTTTATGAGTGAAAGAAGATCCAAAAGTTTCTGCTACTTTTGTGACATAAGCCTATAGGAATCTCACTGCAGCTTTTATGAGTGAAAGAAGATCCAAAAGTCTCTGCTACTTTTGTGATGAGCCCTTTACTCCCACTCATGCTCTGGCACATAAAAAGATACAAATACATGTGATGGAGGTCGATGAAAATGAGGTAATTGAATGGGATAACCAAGAAGAATTACAGGAAGAAGTAGTTGGCAGCCTTGAAACTACAGACTCTTTAATTTCAGTCAATGCTCTTACTGGTGTGGCAAACTTTAAAACAATGAGGATCACTGGTTATTACAAGAAAAAGCCTTTACATATCCTTATAGATAGCGGTGATCACCCTAGGTGACATTACCTAGAACTTTGATCAACTAACAATGCAATTCTTTATACAAGAAAAAAAAGTTGTTTTAAGAGGTGCTATTAATGGGGGACTCAAAACAATACGGACAAAACAGCTTGGAAAGGCTCTTACTTCTGGAGTTCATTTGTCTATGTTACATGTGTGTGACCAACAAAAGAGTTCTCTACTGCAATCTCTGACCACTCATGCTCCTCTGGTGGAACAAACATTACTGACCATGAGGACTAATTGCTTGTTTGCCAAAAAATCCAAATGCTACTTTGGGGTCGATGAGGTGAAATACTTAGGCCACTTTATTTCTAAAGAATGAGTTGCCACTAATCCTATAAAGATAATGGCTGTGCAAAATTAGCCTCTACCTAGAACACTAAAACAGCTGAGAGGGTTCCTCGGGTTAGCTGGATACTACAGACGGTTTGTTGAAGAAAAACAAATTTACTTGGTCATTGGAAGCAAAGGCTGCCTTTCAAGAATTAAAAGATCAATTAACCAAAGCCCCAGTACTTGCCTTGCCAAACTTTTCCAAAGCATTTGGAGTAGAAGTGGACGCCTCGGGCCCTGGCATTGGGGCTGTACTCATGTAGGATCATCACCTTATTGCTTTTATTAGTAGGGTTTTGAATGTTCAACAACAAACTTTGTCAACCTATGAGGAGTTATTAACGGTTGTATTTGCTATGCAAAAATGGAGGCATTATCTTCTCAACTCTTATTTTATAATCAAAACTGATCATCAAATTCTACAATATATCCTTCGCCAGAGACTAACCACTGCATTCCAACAGAAATGGCTAGTTAAGTTTATGGAATTTGACTTTTCTATAGAATTCAAGCAAGGTCATGCCAACGTAGCTGCTGATGCACTTTCTTGTCAAGAATTGGTGGAATCCAGTGCTATCTATGGTCACACTCACTCCCGAGAATGATTTGCTTTAGAGGATTAAGGCATCATGGCAGCATGATCAACACTTGCAAAGGATCATAGATGATTTGGTAAATGACCCAACCTCTCATAAGCATTATACATGGCTACAGGATGAACTTCGAAGAAAAGGTAGGTTGGTGATTGGAAGGGATGGGGAATTGAGACATGATCTACTGATTTGGTTGCATACCACAGCTTCTAGTGGACACTCAGGTAGGGATGCTACCATGAAAAGATTATAGTTTGTTGTTTATTGGAAAGGCATGTCAAGGGATGTCAAGACTTTTGTCACAAAATGTGAGGTGTGTCAGAAATGCAAATATGTACAGCAGCTTCCCTAGGGCTATTGCAACCTCTGCTAATATCTGAGAGAATTTGGCAGCATATCACCATGGATTTCATTGAAGGGTTGCCTCCTTTCCATGGTAAACAAGTTATCTATGTAGTGGTCGATAGACTAAGTCCGTTCGCCCATTTTATGGCCCTGAATCACCTTTATTCTGCTGCTAAAGTTGCCCAAAACTTCCTTGACAATGTGTTCAAACTGCATGGGTTCCCTGACTTAATCACCAGTGACAAAGATCCAGTCTTTGTGAGTCAATTTTGGAAGGATTTGATGGCTTTTCAAGGAGTACAAGTTCAGCTTTCCACTGTTTATCACCCTCAAACAAATGGGCAGACTGAGGTTGTTAATAGGTGTTTGGAAACTTTTCTCATATGTATGTGTGCTGATGTGCCTACTGCTTAGTCTAAATGGTTAGCTCTGGCAGAATGGTGGTACAATACTACTTATCACTCAACAATCAAGACTAGTCCATATGAAGTGGTTTATGGCGAGCCTCCTTCAGCCTATCTTCCTTACTTGCCTGGAGAATCTAAAATTGACTTGGTGGACAGAAGCTTGCAGAAGAGGGAAGAGGCTTTAAAGTTGATCAAATTTCATATGCAAAGGGCCCAAAATAGGATGAAGCAACAAGTTGGCAAACATAGAAGTGACCGAGCATTTGATGTGGGAGATTGGGTATATGTGAAATTACATACTTACAGACAAGTTTCGGTAGCTTTTTGAAGGAATGCCAAGTTGGCTCCTAAGTACTTTGGTCCCTTTTTTATTACAGACAAAATAGGAGCAGTGACCTACAAACTCCAACTTCCAACGGGTTCAAGAGTGCATAATGTGTTTCATGTTTCTCAATTGAAAAGACATGTTGGAGAAGCTGTCACATCTGCTACTAATCCTATGGAAGATGTTAATGTGATTGGAGGCAAGGAACCAGAGGCCATTATGGATTGGATGACTGTGAAGAAGCGCAACAAAGCTATCATTAAGGTTCTTGTCAAGTGGAAGCATCAATTGCCCGAGGATGCTACTTGGAAATTTTTCTTTGATCTCAAGAAGTTTCCAGATTTCAATCCTTGAGGTCAAGGATTTTGTTGGGAGGGAGTATATTGATATAAGTCTTTAAATAGTTGTCGTTCTGTTGTTGTATAGTTGTCATTTTGTTGTTATTAGGAGTGTCGTTTTATCCAATTTTTGTTTTGTAATTCCGTTGTCGTATTAGAGGTAGTTGTTAACGAGTAGCTATAAACAGGGAAAGGTAATTCTGGGGATGACAGACATTTTACTGCAAAAAATTCTCAATTCTCAATTCTCTTAATTCAAGACATTTTCGAATTCCATTCTTTGATTGGAGTTCCTATCTTCTCTCAATTCTTCGGGTTAGTTCTCTTCCCCTAGAATTACTAGTATCACCTCACCTCATTTTCTCTTCTCTCGTGCTTGATCCTTCTCTCTCTCAATCTCTTTTCTTTGCCTCTGCATCTTCCAAACTTGGGGCATTTTTGATATTTTGAAGTGACATGAATAATTTTGTGAGAATGATCACTATAATGAACATATGCTAATGATATATTGATTTGTACCTTATAGAGAAGATTTCAAATAGTCATGTTAGTTAAGACCACTTAGAGGCGTATACTAAATCAGAGTTGTTGCAAATTACTGTGAGGCTGCTAGGGTAAGTGTCCCCCCTATGAAATAATGGTTTGCAATAGCTACTGTGCTATTCAACATTGCTTTTCATCCAACTAAGTTCAACACATAACTAGTAATGAACAAGACAGGAATATAAAGCTAACATATATAAGCATGATGTTTGATTTGTTATAATGTCGATTTTCCCTCATACCTAAATATTATGGACACAAATCACACAATTTGAACGTGTAGTACAGACTTCCTTCTAGACCAATTTCCTCATGACTGAATTTCAGGATCACAACTCTCAAATGTAGATATATTAACTGCAAAGTTACACGTTGAATATGAAAGTGCAACGGTTCCCATATATATGTATTGTAACATATCACATACATTGCTTGCATCAAAATATGATCTTCAGTAATAAGACTTCAATATTTGGGGCTTTTAACTCAAGGAAAAAAATAGAGAAAAAAAGGCCTTTGGATCAGTCATCAGGAAAACCAAGGAATCTGTTTATATGCTTGGCTACAAGTGTGGCATCACCTGGAGAATAAGGTAGGAGAGACGTTAAATCCATATCTGCTATAATTTGATGGAGTGTCAGAGGACTAGCACAATAAAGATGTTTTCTGTCAGCAAGCTCTTCTGCAAGCTCACTTTGATGATTATCCATCAAATCTTCATTTACAACTACAATTAAAGGTTTGCCTAGCTGCAGTGTCTCAAATATGCTACCTGACCCTGCAAAAATTCAGAATATCTACAGTTAATTACCTACCTCTAGCCCCAAATAATAACAACAATAACAAAACCCGGGTCACTTTAAGTTTCTTTTATTATATATTCTTTGTCCTTTCGAGGAGAATAGTATCTTTCCAGTTTAATAACAATACAACAGCAAATTCATGTGTTTCATAGCAATTTATTATTTCTTGGAAGATTTTATCAGCAAAATATTTGAAAGGCGTTTGAAGAATGGAATAATAACAATGCTTTCTTCCTGGCTAGTAAAGGAATAGCATCCCTGCCAACATCATCTCACAAAATCTATTTCAAATTCAAGTAAGTTACAACCTTATGACCAATGAAGGAGAAAATCATAATGAATAATGTACAGGTAATGCAAGGTATTGGATATCAAGTCCAGGTGTATCTCGATATAAGCATAGTGGCAGTAAATTTGTGATGAAAGGCAATAAATAGATGCATGATTTTCATCACAAATGGGAAAAGGAACACATCCACTCACAGAAAAAATGCATACTTCGCTCCAGTAAACCAGCGCAATCGGGCATAATTGTACCAAGTTACATTGAACCAACAGTTTTCTAAGGCAAAGTTTGTATAAGACTGTAAGGAACAAGCCCCAATTGGGGAAGTCACATTAGATGGGCTCAAAGAATCATGTGGGTCAGCCCCTATTAATCAGGCTTATTAGGAAAGCAGTTAAGAGTAGCTAATTAGTTAGCCAGCTACAGTAGAAGCAGAAAATATAAGGGAAGGCAGTTAGTTGGCCAGTTTGAGTCAGTTTTGAGTGAGCGAGACCAAGCTTTTAAACACCTGCAGAAGTGGTATACCATTCTTGCTCTTCATGACCCAGGACACTATAATACCTATCAATAGAATGTATTTTTAGCCAATTGTTTTCTTTAGTTGTCAAATAATCCTAGCTGTATGCAGATGAGAGGTCAGTTGCAAATACTAACGTTGGTGGGTTTAGACAAGGAAAAGTTAGTTAGTTAGGAAGTACAGTCTTAATAGAAGTCTGAGCAAACTGTATTCATGCATGAAAATTGGAATAAGAATTGTGATCAAGGTTTCTCATTAAAGAGACCCTACAGTTTGTGTCAAGATTCAGTGTTCTTGATTAGTGTTTGTAAAAGAGATAGCAGGATAGTTCCGACAGGTTCAGTTCCTAACTTACAGCCATTGATCCAGTGTTGGAGGAGGGTATTCAATAAAATTTACCATTATTTTAAAGATATATTTATAATATATAAAATCTGACTTTCAAACTGTAATGCAGCCACATCAGCAAGCTTAAATAGTATGAATTTTGCCATGTGCTTTATTTTCTTTGTTAGCTGCCATCCTTGGTAGAAAAGAAAATTTTGTCCAATGCAAAGCTAACAACAAACACTCAACTCCATTGCCATAAACCAAACCCTGTAATTAACACCACAACTCTACACCATCAAAATATATCAAATATCGGCATGAAATCACTAATCCTGACAGCTGATAAATCCTCATGGATGGAAGAGCAGAATACAATATAAGCCACCAAGATCAAGTAACAGAAAAACTTCTTAGGTAGATTTCCGGGTAGATTTACATAACAATAAGTGGAAAATCATGTAATAAACAATCATACCTGCATGGCTAATGACAAGAGAAGCTGATCTGAGATGGTCTGCAATACTGGATGAAAAAGTGAAGTAGTCTACAGCCAACGAACCATCTCCTTCAGACTAGAATTAAAACTAAAAGGTTACTAATAATAAACTCATTAAAAACAGAAGTATAGGCAATAGAAAAAGAGAATAATAAACTCTCCATATTTATCTCCCTCCATTTCTGATGTTAGGTATACTTGGTTGCATGCACAGTTACTAGATGTTAGTTTCTGTCTTGAGTTTGTAAACAGATATAAAATCAATGATTGAAATTTTAACAACTTCATAATTTGTTGTAAACAAGCGTGTATTTTATCAGACTATTAACCCTTGGTTTTCTAATCATCATTTACAACTAAATTTTATGTATATCCCCCACTTAAGAAGAGCTAAATCCATGTATACATATTATCCAGTGATCAATGACTTAATGCCATGTAAAACTTTCTTCAAGCAAGCATAGAAAGCTAACTCAGCAAATCTTGAAGTGGCAATTTCCCATGCCCATGTCAGCAAAAGTTGATTTTAAAATCTAATTATCATAAACGAAAATGCACAACCAAAGAAGGCAGTATTATACGAGAAAGCACGAAGAGAGAAAACGGGGAGGTTACCTTAGTAGGAAGATAGGATCCATGGCCCATTTGGATAAGAAGGTGGGTGTAGCCTTTTGCAAACAAGGCTTGTTTAACATCGTTGGAATCTACAGCTCTCACAAGAGCATCAAAGCAGGTTGTCCCCACAGTCACAAAAACCACTCTCTTTGTCTTGTCATTGTTCCCCATTTATCCACACCCACTCAATTCAATTCTTCCATCCAAAAAATACAGAGCTTCAATGTATATTGCTAACACCATTACAGTTAGTGTCGAGCATGTACCATAAACTAGTAACCAAACCTCCAAATTCCATCAAGCACTATAATCTGCTAAATTTCAATATTATCATTATACCGAGTCTTATTTCAATTAACAATTCAGGTAACAACGTTTCACACAGGAGGATCATTGATCAGTTTCGAATTTTTGCAAATAAGTAATTAAATCAAGTTGTCCAAAACATTGATGCTATAGCTAAAAATTTGATAATACAACGTTTACCTGAGAAAGAGAGCAACGGGAACAAATCACTCGATCTGGCTTCAAACTTTTATCCTGAGAAACAAAAATCATATTGACATAAATGAGAGATCTAATAAGAATATGAGAGAATATATAAAGAGAAGCATGCATATAGAAACTGAGAGAACAAACAAGAGAGAAGAACCTGAAAGAGAGACAGCAGTGACAGCACGCGAGAGGCGAACTCCGAGAGGGGAGAAAGAATTTGCAAATACGATGCCGTTTAACGTGCCCTTGGTAAATCTTGGTGTATCATGGTCTTTTTATGTGTTAACCGTTAGATTCATTTTACCCGTTGCACAAATTACGTTAAAAGAATATAAATTTTGCAACTTAATCCCTATATTAATAAGCCAATTTTGAAAACTCGAAGACCTACACCATGCTCCTCCATCGAATGTTCAAGATACACTAACTTCTACAAACACATATTGCTAAATTCTTTTGATATTCTATTGGCAATAAAAATTTCCTCGTTGAAATTTAAATGTTACAGAAGAAAATATAAATATTTAAAAAACAAAATTTAATCTCACAAAATATTTGTATTAAGATAATAAATAATATACTCAATATTTGACTTTGTTAATACTTTGTTAATAACTAATTTTTAAAGCACACAACACTTAAAATGATAAAACTCCTTTGAGTTATTTCTAACTGTCTTTCTATTTCTAAATTCTTTTATTGCTTACCAAAGTACACCATAAATTAAATAATATTTTCTATTTATATTACAATAAGGTTTAGCTGTTTTTTCAAGTGACCGAGTTTGACTAATTATGATATATTTAATAGAAATTATTCTATGGATAAAATACAACTTATAATCCTATGGCTAAAATAAATATATACAATTTATCAACAACTAATTAAAGTTACAACTTTTTACTATTAAACAATTTCAACAAGTTTAGTTAATCTTTTAATATCATTCCTTAAACTTTGAGTGGCTTTGTAAAAATATTTGCTACTTGATTTTTTGAAGTGTAATATTTCACCATAATTTCTTTATTTCTAATCAAGTCATGAATGCAGTGATATTTGATATCAATATGTTTACTGCGGCCATGAAAGACTAAATTCTTTGTCAAAGCAATTATTGATTTATTGTCACAGAAAATCTTTGTTAGATTATCATGGGGGTGTTGTAACTCACTTAATATTCTCTGCAACCAAATTGCTTGAGTAGTGCACTTTATTGCTGCAATGTACTTTGCTTCTGTTGTAGACAAAGCAACTACTTATTTTTTGGAGGACCAAGAAAATACACTTGTACCAATATGAAAAGCATAGCCTGAAGTGCTTTTTTGAGTTTCAGTCTCACTAGCCTAATTACTATTTATGTATCCAATTAATTTTGTCTTGTTAAAACTTGAATAAAAGATATCTTCATCAATTGTACCCTTGACATACCTCAAGATTTGTTTTGCAGCTTGCCAATGAGATTTGTCTTGGTGATTCCATAAATCTAATTATTAGCCCTACTCTATAAACTATGGTAGGTCTTGTTATTGTCAAGTATTTGAGGCTTCTCACTAACATTCTAAAGTTAGTTGAATTGACAAGATTATTACCACTTTTTTTTTAAGCTTTAATCTTTCTTCAACTAGTGTCTGCACTGGTTTGCAAGTCTCCATCTTGAATTTTTTCAAAACATTTGTTGCATAAGTCTCCAAAGAGATAAAAATCACTTCATTTGTCTGCTTCACCTCAATGCCTAGAATAAGACATTAAACCCACATATGTCATTTTAAATTAAGTATACATATTCTCTAAATTTATCTAGCAATTTTGAATTATTGCCATTGAAGATTAAAACATCCATGTATTGACTAACAACAATGATGTCTCCATCCTTGTTTGTTTGACATATAAAACATGCTTATATGGATTTTTATGAAATCTGTTGCTCATGAAATATGTGTCAATACATGTGTATCAGACTTTAGGCGCTTGTTTCAATTCATATAATTTTTTTTTTAACTTGTATACCTTATCTTCCCGTCCTTGTTGTTGATAATGAAGCACACCATTTAGGAAAGTAGACTTGACATCTATTTGAAAAATCCTCCATTTATTTTGAGCAACAAGGGAAAAAATCAAGTATATTGTATCAAATTTCGCAACTGGAGCAAATACTTGAAAGTAATGAATGCTAGGTTTTTATTTGTACTATTTTGCTACCAATTGTGCTTTGAAACAATTATCTCTTCACACCAATTGGCTTCTTTTCCTCTAGAAGTGTTGTTAACTCCCATACGTGCTTCTTTTCAATTGCATGAATCTCTTCATGTGTTGCTTTAATCAAGCAATCATTATTGACTGGTTCCTCATATGTCATTGGATCACAGTATGCAAATAAGGCATAGTAAGTAACTTCTTCCTCTATTTCTTATGAATCATCATCTCTATTAACTTCATAATCTTGTAATTATGGAGGTAGACGTCATTCCTGAAGGTTTATCAACTTTATCATCAGGTTGTTCATTTATAGTAATTGGTACAAACAATTAATGCCTTGTCCTTTTTTAACTAGTCTCACATTCCATTTTCATCAAAGGTAATATCTTGACTGATATTCTCTGGATTGTACAACTTATATACTTTTGATTTTTCACTGTAACCTACAAAGATTCTTAATTCTAATAAAAATCTTTAATAGAATTTAATAAACTTTTATCATTTTTTACAAATAATGTACAATAAATAAAATTATTTTTACAATAACTATTAGTTTAAAGTAGTTTATATATATATATATTTGGAGTTGGACGAATCAATCGAAAATAGAGTTATAAGAACAATGAAAACATAGCTTAAACATTACAATGACTAATCTTCTAAAAAATGAAACTAGAAAGATGTTAGAAAATTTAATTTCACTTGCTTATTCTAAATTATCAAAATTTAAACTTAAATCTAATTTATTAAATTCTGAAGATTTAATTTATTGAACTCGTTAATATTTAATTCTTAATATATGCATTGATCATTTGAAAACTGTCAAATAAAAATTAAATTTTAATGGATATACAAATTGAATGATTAGATCGAATTTTTATAAAATTTTGTCTTTTAAAAAAATCTGTTATTTTATGAATTTTAACAAATTTTTATTAATTATAAAAAGTATAAAAAATAATATATTTGTTAGCATTTTTTATATATATAAACACATGTTATTTAAATATATTTTATTATTAGTTTTCATATTTTGTAGCATTGCTTAACAAGATAGATAATGAGAATACTTGTGACAGGTATTTTACTACTTGAGTTAGTGAGTTAATATGCAACTAAAGTAAGCTAAGAATGTACCTAGATGACATGTTGAAATGAATTTAAACTCTTATTTTTTATATAAAAAAATAAGGTCTATAATTTTTTTAAGTGTATAATATATATATATATATATATATATATATATATATTTTCCTCTAACAAAATAAAATTGTGTAACTCACATAAATTAACGAAAGACAAAAATTTAACTTATTTTAGCAATACATTTTGATAAATTTATTTTATTTAATAATTTAGAAAAACATTTTTTAAAATTAAGTATTAAATTGGATGTTATCATTAAGTATTTTAAAACTTAAAAACTTTAAAAATAGTCAACACTTTGTCAATTAATTTTATTTTAATAAATATTGTGTTATTTAAAACATAAATAAACATTAATTATAAGATAACATGCATATTAAAGTGATTTAAATTTTTATATGTGTGATTATTAAGATAATATCATATGATTTTTTAGGTTAAAATTAAATATGAATTTACTTCACATACGTGTCTCTCATTTTCAATTTATTCTCTACCCTTAAAAATTTGTAATTGAAATCCTCTACGTGTATATCAATTTTAATTTAATCTTAATCATTCTTTAAGACAGTTCATATTAGGTAAAATAACTTGTACCAACCAACCAATGTTTACTTAAGTAAAAAATAAACTTATTTAATAGCAACTTGCAAAAAAAAATAAAAATGGTTATCATAGTTAATTTAACAATTGTCATTATAACTCATTAATTATAAACTCTAATCAATCAAAATTACAAAGCTAAGTGTTGCAGAAGATGCAACAACTCAAAATGATTCTATCAACAACGCTTCCCTTCATCAACTTCAGCTTCATATTATACATGTTCCATAGGTGCTTACAAGCTTTCTTTTTGAATGGAACTCATCTCTAGGCCTTCTAAAGAGACTCCTGATTCCTCCCAATCCACAGGAAAAAATGCAGATGGAGGCAACACAGTGAAATTGAACCCGAGTTTCCCTCTCAACCAAAAACTACTCTAGAGATCAAGCAAGGACCATTGTGAACTTGAAAAAGGAAATTATAATTTGTGGGGCAAAATGTTGTTAAATAGTTGGCTTTTTAGGTGTACAATGTATGTTACTATAATGTAAAAAATTTAGAAGCACAAATATAAAATAAAAATACAAAAGAAAGAACAGCAAAAAAGTGCTGTTATTGAGTGTATTCTGGTAGACGTGGGGAATGGGAACATGGGTGAAGATGCTCCGTGTAACACGCCAACATTTTATTTTTTACAATAAGATGTATCGTGGTGGAAATCCATTGGCGTAACTCACTTTTAAGAATTAGGTCTGTGCCAAGTTGAAGTTTGCAGACATGCACTTTTTTTTCTTAATCACAATTGATTATTTTAAATTACACGTTTTATTATGCTATTGTTTAGAATTATAGTTTCAAATTAGTTTTTTATTGGATTAGTTTTCAAAAAATTTAATATCAAATTAATCCTTTTAAACTTTAAAATATTACAATAAAAATATATATAAATGAAAATTGATTAAACAATAATTTAATGAGCAGCATTTTTGAAAAATTTGTTATCTCTCTCATCTTATTTGATATTTGTGAGGGATTCAACTTAATTTTTTTAATAAAAAATAGCTTATTTTAGGATAAGCAAAATTTTGGAGTTTATACTTAAAAATGCTTTTTTAGTTAATTTTTATTATCTCATTCTATTTTTAATAGCTAATTATTTTAAATAAAAAAGTTAATTATTACACATAACTTTATATATATATATATATATATATATATAATTTGACTATAAAAGCATTCTTTTATACAATTTAAACTTAATAAAATATTTTAAACATATATAAACATAATTTTAATTTAAGCAGTTAAGTATTATAATAATCAATTATAAATATAATTAATTATTAAAATCCTCTAGTTTTTCAATGGTTATTGAAGTGAACGTTGTTTCTTTAAAAAATTCTTCTCAATATATATAATCGAGATTCAAACTTTAGAAAACGTGTTTAAGGAATAAATTATTTGTTAATTGTCTTGTTAAATTTTAAATAAACAGTCCTTTTTAAATTACCTAATTATCATAAAATAATCACACTTTTTGAATTCAAAAATACTTTTACCTTAAGAAAAACATAAATAAACTTTTCTAAGTAAAAAAAAATAAAATTACACATACTTACAAGTTGTAACTTAAGACACCAGGCTGGATATCAGGAGCCATTTAAATATTTGACGTCGTTCTTATCCATTTTTCTGCGTTTTTTTCTCACTTAAATGCATGTAACTTTTGCCTCTTGGACTCTACCACCCATATCTAACCACCTTACCCTTAAAACTAAATAAAAACTTCCCACGATGCCATTTTTTTATATTTTGTTGTATTATATTCAATGCATTATTTAATATTTATTATTTTTAAATTTAAAAATAATTATTTATTAAATTATTCAATTTTTCCATTTCAAATATCTTATTAGTAGGTCTAATTTTTCTGCAAGTTTTTACAAATTTACATACATTTTAAGTTGATTTCTGCAAGTTTTTATAAATGCTGAATTTTATCATGGTCAAGTATTATTTGTGTGATTTTATGAAATACTTTTTTGCACTAAACTATTTTTTTTGTTTTAAACATTTAAATATATTTTTTAAACAAACATTTTTTAAAATAAAATGTAACGATATGAAATAATTTTTTTTGATATTTTCAGTTAATAATGAGGATAGTTTAATAAAAAATTATTTTAAATATATTTTACACTATCATTCAATCATAATTACTTTATTAATTTTTTTTATAATAATCAATATAAAAATTATATCTAATATATATTTTAATTAATTCAGCGTATAAAAGAGTATATCAAAACTAAACTTTTAATAAAAAACATTAAGTGCTTTTAAACTAATATCAGTTACAACTAGGTTTAAAATACAACAATTTATGAACATATATTAAATGAATTATATATATATATATATATATATATATATAAATACACAATAAAAATTTGATAAATAACTTTTTGCTAAAAAATATATTTAATGTCATCAATATATCATATTTTATGATATTATAAATAAAATCTTGTTGGGTGTATTTAATATATGTTAAACATGGTATATTAAATAAAAGTATGTATTTTTAAAAGCAATTCAATATTGAAATTTTGATATAAATATTTTAATTTTTTAATGTAAAATTTTTACATTGTAAGAATGTGTTTTTTATAACGCGCAAAACAGCTTTTTGTGTTTTAATTTTAATGTTTGGGATCCGATGACTACGAGTACGACGTTGTTTTGATCAGAAAATGAATGTTGACAACTTAAAACTTTGTTTTCTTACATGTCACTGATTCTGTGTGCGTGTTTGTTTTCGTATTCTTTCTGATGCTTATGGTCGCATAGAGTGTTTCTTGGTGGCATCTTTATTCCGTCCCTTTCTTTCTCCAACCAACTTTCTCTTCTCCTATTCTTTCCTTTCCAATTGTTCTTCTATAGATTCACCCTACAGCTCCTAAAAAGTCTTCCTTTTTTCTATTATCAACCCACCTTTCTGCTTTCGGACACTTGAAAACGTAGAAGAATGAACTCTTTCAATTCTGTAACTGTAAGCTCTCTCTCTCTGCTTGGGTGGTGTTGGGGTCGTATCCCTCGCCCTCAGCCTCAGGACTCACTAAGCACGTTTGCTTCATCGTTCAACTTTGAACTTCTTTTTCACGTTCTCTCTTCTCTGCTCAAAATCTATGATTCTCCGCAACTTGCTCTCATTTCTTAATACTATTCTTTGCGCCTCTTATAGCTTCATCTACTTTGTTTTTGTGTGCTTCGTTACTGATTTTCACTGAGATACAAACTCTATTTTGCTTTACTAATGTTGGAGCGGGCGCAAAATGAACTCAAGTTTGACTTTTGCCGATTCCTCTAAATTTCGTGATTTCTTTGCTTTGCTGGCCGAGTAATGTATTGAGTCTACACATGACCGAATTTTCGGATGATAAACATACTAAGAAGCCGCTTATAGTTTATTGAACTGTATTAATTTCCCAACTTGTAATAACCGTTGTCTTTGCCAGGGTTTTGTCTTGCCAGACCAGAAGAATAGGTTGTTCCTTTGGAGTTTTCTCATCGTGGTTTCTTTGATTTCTGGTGCTTATTTCGTTGGCAATGCATTCTTTGCAAAGGAATACAAACAAGTATGTATTAGTTTAAATTCCCCAAGTTTTAGTTTAGATTGCTGCATTAGAAAATTAGAAATTTTACAGGGAATTTTGTTATTATGTTGGTACTCCAATGACTACTTCTATAATAGAAAAAGTATAATAGCAATATTAGTGTTGCAGTACATTTGTTTCTGGTGAAGGTATACTGTATACACGCCTCATTTTTCTAGTTAAATCAGAAAATGTTGCCCACTTCCGCACTTTACAAACTATCTCTGCGAACAATGCTTCAAACTGTTACTTTTGCTAAAATGATGGAAAAATATAATGCTGGACTGCTGGTTGGTATTTGTTCATTGAGCATTACCGAGATGTATCTTCTGGCATTTGCTATTTGCAATTGATTAAAATGTTTAAGATTCTCACAGTTGTACTGTCTACAATGGTTTTATTCTTGTCAGAAGAAAAGGTCAAATGGCTGGTTAGGTTATTTTCCCTTGAAATTGTTGTATAATACTAAAGGATTTCCTGATGGAAAATTAACCTGAGATTTAGAGATATATGTTGGTTTGGAGTTCAAGGTCAAGGACTTCCTTAGACGATTCCCTTCTCCCTTCCCACATAAATTTGATTGGTGTCTAGTGCATCTCTAACGCACTCTTTCCAACATTCTCAATTATATGGATCTCACCAAATAAACTTGGATGCACTCTCTATTTACTGGAACCCACACCCTACAATAGAGTTTTTTTTTGCACAGAGTGTTGATAACATTCATCTTTTAGGCTTTGATTGCTAGAAAATACTTTTCGGTAAATATGCAGAGATTAGCACGATGGAGACTAATTCATAGAATGCCGTATTCAAGATCCTATGCATGCAAGGTTTGTTATATTCTGGACTTTGTTTTAGCTTGTTACCTGTTCTCTTTGGAATTATCTCTAATTTCTCTTCCTCTTTCCATTTCCACAGAGACAATGCTGGTCTTTTGGAAGTGAGGTATTGCCTGAAGGAATTGTTGCTAGAACATCAAACTTGGAAATGCGGCCCTTATGGGACTCTGGTAAAGATAATGTATGTGAAATGTGTGCTAAATTTTGTCATTCATTTATTAGTTAGTAATTCACTTAATACTCTCATAGTGCTAGTTTTAAGCTTCGCATAATAAAATATTGCAATCAACTGCACAGTTCAATCTGATCCACCTATGAAATATTTTTGTTTCTACTAAAGTTGATTAACTGGAATTTTATCTCGAACCAGTGAATTGATACATACTAATATTATAATAATTGTATGTGTCCATGTTGGATTGGTCGGACTTGAGTGTTATGATAACTTGCTACATTAGTTGGAACAGTTTGTTATTCGTTAGTGCTTTAAAAAATAAATATTGCTCTTAGAAAATGATTTCATTTATATTATAAATAGCACTATGATGTCAAAGGAACATATTGCTTTACCAAACATATAAACGATGCTATACGTTAGCAGACTGTCAGAAATTGGAACAGACCACATTTAGATGGGGTAAATCAACTTTATTATTCTTCTGAAAATACTGGTACCAGTATGGTATCAGTACTGGTGGGTGGACTTACAATGAATGATAAAGAATGAAACACAAAAGATGGCACCAGGTATTTGAGAGACCCTGTACTCTCTCACTGTTCTCTACGTATGTCATGCCTTTCTCTTCCCATCCCCTATCTTATAGGCATACAAGTCAAGTTTCCCTTCTGATTACCTTGATTACCCCTCTCTGTAAATAAATAATACAATCACTCAATTTCCCTACATTGCCTCCTTGTCTTCTTTCCTAATATAAATAAACTTCGGTTATAGCCTAATAGTTGGTTTCTTAACACCCCCTGCTCCCAATTAAAAGGATCTTGGTTAGGTAGAATAAGACAGGTTACTGGGGGATTAGGACCCAATTCTATTAACAACAGAATAAATTACTTGTATTCAGTAATTAAAAGGGATAGGGGAGTTAGTTAGGGTCAGTTGTAGAGTTGAGGCCTGAGGGCAAATTGGAAGGGAGAGAATCAGTTCTCTAAAATGCCTTGGAGTTAGAGAGAGGGAGAACCTATTGTATTATTCTGCATCTTTGATTTGTATCACACTGATGCTGATCAGAGTTGTTTCTGTAATGAATATTTATTGTTCTACTGCTTCTATCACTATATATATTAGTTGAAGTCCTGCTAATTTTAAGGGGTTGATTTCAGATCTATCACTATTTATCTGGATCCATTATTATATGCGTATAAGTTAAAATCTTGCTAGGTTTATAGGTTGATGATATCTAGTTTATTAATTTTCCTTCTGTACATCACTTTTTCAATGTTTTTTGCTGCAGAGAATTTTAAATCGCCCAACAAATTTGTTGGCCATGGCAGTAGGACTTAAGCAAAAAGAAATTGTCAATAAAATTGTTGAAAAGGTGTGATTATTGCTTCACTTATACAGTTTGACTTTCATCTAAAGATCATATTAAGCTGACTTGTATTTCTGGTGGCAGTTCTTGTCAAGTGATTTTGTTGTGATGCTTTTTCATTATGATGGTTTTGTGGATGGATGGAAGGGTTTAGCTTGGAGTAATCGTGCCATCCATATATCTGCTATTAATCAAACAAAATGGTATAATAAGCTCATATGTAGATTTGTTTTCACTAATTATAATAACATGCTTGGTAATTATTGAGTGAAATAATGTTATTATGATGGCATAGGTGGTTTGCAAAACGGTTTTTGCATCCAGACATAGTTGCTGAATACAATTATATATTTCTCTGGGACGAGGACCTTCTTGTTGATAATTTTCACCCAAAAAGGTAAGTCTCTTTTGCCTTTTTTTTTTTTGTAAAATTTAAAATTTTCTTTTCATAGTTTGTTGAACACAGTCTCGTTCATGGATGTAAGAGTTGGAAAAAGAGCAAAGAGCAAAAGCCAAGATGGCTTTTCAAAATTCAAGTTGTGACAATTGGAAGGAGAACAATAAAAGATCTTGCAGCAAAGATTTATTTCAAAGTTGTATAAACATACACTTACAATATATGGTTTTTACTCTTATATAATTTTATTTGAATTGCCTGCATGTATCATGTGAATAAACACTGGTATCTTTTTTTTTAAAGAATTGTGTGTGCCATCATTTGGTTAGAAATTGAATTTCTTTGTTTAGCCTATTGGTTTACAGCATGTTTGCTGAGACCTTGCATATAAGCCCTATGGAAATTGGAATGCCTTTTTCTATTTGATCTTCTTTAGTTGACAAGGTAATTTTTACGTGCAATCAGTTATGGCTAAGAAAATAGGATGATGCTAAATTTTGTGGCCTTATTTGAATATTTTAGATAAAAAGTGAGAAGTTTTGTTTTCTTTATTTTTTGTTTATGTTGATTATTTTATGCCTTATGTATTGATCTGTTGATTACTTGGTAGGTATTTATCCATTGTTAAGGAAGAGGGACTTGAGATATCACAGCCAGCATTGGATCCAAGCAAATCAGAAATACATCATCCACTAACAGTTCGTAAAGCAGGATCAAAAGTGCACAGGTTAGCCCTATTTCCCCCACCTTTTGCAATAAACAGTGTTCCACTCTTAGATCTACTTATGTATTACAATACAACCAACACAGTACTCTATTTATGAACTAGAATATTGCATAATTCCTTGTCATTTTGTGGGTTATATTTTAAAAATATATGTGCACACTCACAGATACACGTAGCATCTTCATAAAGTGTAGGAGGGTGGAAAAAGTTGCCTAAAAAAAAAAGTTACCCTTATTATTTTTATTACATATGGACAAAGTTGTCTTTATTTAGCAGGTGTTTAGAAGAGCTTATTTGGATTCATGAAAGTGGCTTATGACCTTCCTATAATTTTTTTTCTACTTATTTCAATAATTTTTATAACAAAGCTTATCAAGATTAGTTCTTTTAACTTGTTTAAATAAGTTGCATAGTTAAGTTGGTAGATAAGCTCTTATTTGATAAGAGCTTAATTAAGTTTACTCAAATATGCACTTAATTGAGTATTCACATATAATTATTATAATATGACTAACATGATACTGTATTAATGAATTAGAATACCATATGGTTCCTTGCCATTCTGCAAGTTATATTTCAAAATATATGTGCATGCATATAGACCAGAGTCACCAGACACACATATCTCTGTAAAGTGTGCAAGTGTTGAAGAACTTACTGCACAAAGTTTGCCCGTATTATTTATATTGTCAATTTACGTGTACTAAAATTGTTTGTATTTTGAGTACACACCTGCAATGAGTTTGTCCATCATACATTCAAATGATTTATAGTTCCCTTAAATAATTTATCCCCAGAAGTTGTATCCCCATGCCTACATGTTATAGGGAATTTTTATATCAAGGAATTCCCCCACCCCCCAACTATTTCTAATATTCTTTTTGCTATTTCTATATACAGAAGGTATTATAAGTATAAAGGTAGCGGAAGGTGTGATGACAACAGCACAGCTCCTCCTTGCATAGGGTAAACAGTTGCACCCTCTGTCCTGTATCATTTTTTTTTCAGTTGTTAAGTCAAGCTGGTTATTTGTGCTATTAAATAGGATTCATAATTTAATACAGAATTTTTTTTTTGCAGTTGGGTAGAAATGATGGCACCAGTGTTTTCTAAAAAATCTTGGCAATGTGTATGGCATTTGATCCAGGTATTGAATACTAAGAACCATGTAAAACCGCATAAATGGGGTACTGATTCATATTATGAAAATTTATGATGAACTATTTCTGCTTGAGAACATTATATGACATGATATCACAATTTTTTTAATTATTTTGAAAATTTCAAACCTTTTATGGTTTAGTCATCTGGGGTTATAAGATGCATGGATACTTCAAAATTGGCAATGTATCCATACTGGATACTTGATATGTGTATCATGCAATTGTCCCAATATGAATTAAAGCTTGATTGCATTACCTTTAAATTTTTTACTATACATTTTTTCTTTGGATAATAAAGAAATTAGTATCATAACTTGAATATAATATTTTTATTTAAATTTGGCTATAATTAATTTTTTTAATAATCTTTTCAATATATTAAAGATCAATAGTAGTACGATGATGATAGCAAATTAATATAAATATTATATATATATTAAAAGAAAAGAAATCAAGAAAAATAATAAACAAAATATAAGTAAATGACAGTAGTATGATGCGAGTATTTTTCTTTTTTAAATTAGCATATTTACGTACTCCATTTTGTACCCATACCTATGCAACATAATACCTGACCAAGTCACACAGATAGAGCTGTTAATTATTTTAGAAGAAACCATTGTCTTTGGCATATCAATTTGGAACAACAATTCTTTCTACGGTAAAACCTGTTATGCTTGGTTCGACTGTTTAAATTTCTGATTCCTTTTACACTGTATTCTTTCTGCCTCAACTTCTGGTGTGATCTGAACCTGAGATTTGTATTCATAGGTTAACGTTTGATATTGGTCTCAGCTTGTTGATAGGAAAATTATTAATTACAGAGTATATTGTATTGTTCATACTATATTAGTTTATTCAACCGTAGGATCTGATGCAATTTCATTTTTACATGTTAGTTGGCAATTTACTGATATTCATCTACTCATCTTTCTTTCTACAGAATGACTTAATCCATGCCTGGGGCCTGGATAGGCAGCTTGGCTATTGTGCACAGGTAACTTGCTTGTACCACAACAGCATATTCATTACATACTAAATCCTTCCAAGGTGGTGGTTATTCATCTCTCGACAATATTTCAGGGTGATCGAACAAGAAATGTTGGTGTGGTTGATTCTGAGTACATAGTTCATCTTGGTCTGCCTACTCTTGGGGGCTCAAATGGCAATGAGGCAAGTGATTTCATTTATAAATGTAGTGTAACTTGATAACAGTCACACAGTTCCTACCTTGTTTAAACCAAGCACAATTTCAATCAACTTCACCTCATTAAGGATTTTCTATGCATCACTTCCTTGAGTTCAAGTTGACAACCTATAGATTAACTTCAAAAATGTTTGAATTAAAATCTCATTTGTTTGCTCGTACAGGTAAATATAATTGTGTTTTCATTTAACTGTCAGTCTAATTACTAATAAGGGTTTTGTGCTTTGAGTTGCAGGCGGCACCAGCTTCCCATGGAGATAATGGCAGAGCTAAAGTAAGTATATTTGACAGGGGATAACGTTATTGATTTATACGCCATTAGAGCAACATGAACCCTTTATTTAAGTAAGCAATAAGCAATGATGTACTACTACGATCCACGTGCAGGTTAGAATGCAGTCATACATTGAAATGCAGGTTTTTCGGAAAAGATGGAAAGATGCAGCAAAGAAGGACAAATGTTGGATTGATCCATATGAACAACTGGTAAACCAGACAAGCCATTAGTCTGTTTTGTGATCAAAATACAAATTCAGTGTCCATGTCCATAGTCAGCGTTTCAAATTGACCCAAGTCACATTTCATTCGATTTTGGTGAATAAAACATATGATTGGTTTTCGGTCTTAGTTGGAGCTTTTGGGTTTTGATTGGTATCTCATGAGAGTTTACAGGAACATTGTTCCGTTTGTCTTTATTCTACCCGCGTTTTGTGAAAAAGCCGTTCATTCCAGCAAATATTGGTGTACATAGGGTGGTATAGAGGTGTTCCTATGACAGCAGAAAAGTGTGTCATGGAATTTTTTCCCTGTGAAGGTCAATGTACATAGGTTACATGTCTGAAAAATGTTACTCTTCGGATAATTCAAATTTTCTCGGCTCCAGTTTGTACTCCATGATGTTCTTGATATATCTTTGCTATTTTCGGGTTCTACTTTTCAATTAGACAAATTCTATTTGTACTCCAAATTCGAACAACTTTCTTTGAACTCGAAAAGAAAACGAAAAAAACAAAGAAATGTGAAATAAAACAAATGATCAGACCGAGAAAGCTAGAAATAATGTTTTTGGCAAATGCCAACTAATGTATTAAGGAATAAAAAATGAATTTTTTAATTAAACAATATTTTTTCGTAAGTTTTAATATATTAATGTGATTTTTAATAATGAGACTGATATCTCCTTCAATTGAACTTGTATCTTCTTGATTATATAATTTTGTGCATTGTAAATCGTGATTCTATCACTAATAAAGGTAATTAGGAAAACCATAACTTAATAATTAAGGTGAAATTTGTTAAAAGAAAAATTTTAAGCATAACTATTGAAAATGATCTACGAAATTAAATGATTTTGTTTAAGAGTTATTTTTAAATAAAGGATCTTGCTAATAGTGCCTTTTGGGTAATAATTAAGGAATTAATAAATAATCTTTTATTAAAAACATGTTGAGTGTGTATTCAAAATTATAAAAGAGTATTATCATTCTTCTTAATACAAAATTGTTTTTAATCAATGTCCATCAACCTAATTATATTTTTTGTTGGTACTAATAGTTAAGGAGAGCCTTCAAATTAAGATCACTAGTCACCTTTTTTTTTTTTTTGATATTTAACAATTTTGTCTTGTTTGTTTTTCATTGAAATTTTATAAAATTAAAATAATTTTTATAATTTTATATCAATAATTAAAATTTATTTGGCAAAAAATGATAAATAAATGAGATAACGATTCTATAAGTCATACAAAAAATGAGATAAAGATAAATAAATTTTAATATATAATTATAATATTCAAAAATAAATAAATCTGAAGGACTACGAATGTGTTGCTTCTTGCAAGTTGTAACTCATATAACAGCGAGTGCTAGGGTTTAAGGGCTTAGCATCGCATTGGCATTGGAGTTTGAGGAGTGAAAGACACGCCATTTAATCAAAGAAAGATGTCCGTTTACCGCCTTCTCCTCCGCTCCCTCCGCCGTTCATCCACCGCACAACCCATCTTCTCTCTTACTCAAACACGCTCCTACGCCTTCTCCTCCGCCGAAGAAGCGGCCGCCGAGCGCCGCCGACGGAAGCGGAGGCTGCGCATCGAGCCTCCCCTGAACGCCATTCGCCCTCCGCCACAGCAGGGCCCTCCCCGGGACCCCAACGCCCCTCGCCTCCCCGACTCCACTTCGGCGTTGGTGGGACCTCGCCTCAGCCTCCACAACCGCGTCCAATCCCTCATCCGCGCCGGCGACCTCGACGCCGCCTCCGCAATCGCCCGTCACTCCGTGTTCTCCGTGACTCGGCCCACCGTCTTCACCTGCAACGCCATAATCGCCGCTATGTACCGGTCGAAGAGGTACGACGAGGCCATCGCTCTCTTCCACTTCTTCTTCAATCAGTCCAACATCGTCCCTAACATCGTCTCTTACAACAACGTCATCAACACTCACTGTGACGAGGGTCGCGTCGACGTGGCTCTCGAAGTTTATCGCCACATCCTCGCCAACGCCCCTTTCAGTCCTTCCCCCGTCACCTATCGCCACCTCACGAAAGGTCTCATTCAAGCCTCTCGCATCTCCGAAGCCGTTGATCTCTTGCGCGAGATGCTTACCAAAGGCCACGGTGCCGATTCCTTAGTTTACAACAATCTCATTTCCGGCTTCCTTGATTTGGAGAATTTGGACAAAGCCAATGAGCTCTTCGATGAGCTTAAGGAACGGTGCTTGGTCTATGATGGTGTTGTCAATGCCACTTACATGGAATGGTTCTTCAACAAGGGCAGAGATAAGGAGGCCATGGACTCCTACAAGTCCTTGATGGATCGCCAGTTTCGGATGACCCCTGCAAGTTGCAATGTGTTGTTGGAGGTGTTGCTTCGCCACAGCAAAGAAACGCAGGCTTGGGCTTTGTTTGATCAGATGCTGGCCAATCATACCCCTCCCAATTTTCAGGCTGTCAACTCTGATTCCTTTAATATAATGGTCAATCACTGCTTTAAGCTAGGGAACTTCCATGAAGCTCTTGCAACGTTTAAGAAGGTCGGAACTAAGCCCAATTCTAAGCCTTTTGCCATGGATGTTGCTGGGTACAATAATATCATTGCTAGGTTTTGTGAGAATGGGATGCTGTCTGAGGCTGAAACGCTGTTTGAAGAACTGTGCTCCAAATCTTTGAGCCCTGATGTGCCTACTCATAGGAACTTGATCGAAGCCTACTTGAAGATGGAGAGGATTGACGATGCTTTGAGGGTATTCAACAGAATGGTGGATGCCGGTCTAAGGGTGGTTGCCAGCTTTGGTAACATGGTATTTGATGAATTGATTAAGAATGGTAAAGCTGTTGATTGTGCTCAAATTTTGAGCAAAATGGGAGAAAAAGATCCCAAACCGGACCCCACTTGCTATGAGGTTGTGATCAAGGGGCTCTGTGCTGATGGTTTGTTGGATAGGAGCCGAGATTTGCTTGACGAGGTTATGAGGTATGGGGTTGGGGTCACTCCTGCCTTGCGGGAATTTGTGATTGACGATTTTAAGAAAGCTGGGAGGGGTGAGGAGATTGAGAGACTGCTAGATATGAACAGATTTGGATACAGTCCTCGTCCACCGGCACCAAGACCTGCCTACCGTCCACCACCAGTAAGGTCCCCTTCTCAAGTGGCAGCAGCCCATAACCCACCTTCTGGAATTCCACCACCAGTGGCAGCACAGCAGCACCCATCGCCACCTTCTCCTCAAATGGCAGGAGTACATAACCCACCTTCTGGCTTTCAAACTCAAATGGCAGCACAGCAACGGCCACCCCCGCCTTCTTCTCAAATGACACGCTCCTATAACCCCCATTCTGCTTCTCCACCCCAAGTGTCATGGCAGCAGCACCACCCACCGCAACCTTCTCAGATGGCAGGAGCATATAGCCCACCTTCTGGGCCTCCACCTCAAGTATCATGGCAGCAACGTCCACCGCTTCCTTCTCAACCATCATGGGGAGTGTCTCCTTCAATGACTGGGCCTCATAAGACAGCACCTGGACCACCTTTACCTCATATGTCAGGACAGCCCTACCGCCCTGCATCAGAATTTCCTCCTCACATGACAGCACAGCATAATACACCATCTGGTCCTTCTCTTCAAATGGCAGGACATCAACCTTATGGACCACCGCGTTGGCCCCAACAGACGGCAGAACAACCATATGTACCATCGGGATTGTCTCCAATGTCGGGGTCTTCTGTTCCTTCATATGGAGCATCAGCTAAAATGTCACCGCCATATCATACATCTCCAGGACCGCATCACCCATCATCAGGAACCCCTCCTCACTTTGAGGAATCACATCAACAGCAATCAGAAGTCCCTGACCAGGCAGCAGCTTGATTTTTGTTGTTCAAGCCAAATCCTAGTGCTAATGGTTCTCTTTTGGATTGAGAGAGCAGTTGCTTCTTGTGATACATTGCCAAATCTTAAGCGTCTTGTGATACTGATTTCTTCTGTTCAGAATCACTAGGTATTTGTGAGTTTATAGATGATGATACAAGAATCTATGTTGATTTGTTAGTCCATAACATGTATGCATGTCTTGTATGACGTGCCATTTTAATTTATTCATATAATTCAACCAATCAACCTTTACTATCAGGCATGGATATTTATATATTTTTACTGCCATTGATATTCTAATGCATTTTACCTGAAAGAAATGTTAAGCCTTTTGTTTTAAGTACCTGTGAAAGGCACTGCAGCATTTAGATTATGTGCTGAATATTACTTTTAGGCTTTGTGTGGATAAAGAATTTGAAGGAGGTAATGTGTTTTTTTAGGAGAGTTTGTTGACCTTTATTATAAAGAGTCTTGTTTGGATACTTGAATGCAAGAATTTTAAAATGACCAGCAATTTACTTTGTATTTCATGAGAATTATAGATCACTCCTGACAAGGTGGAATTTACTCTGTATTGCCTCCTTGCTTTGGTCATTGAAACCTTCTATAGAAACAAAGGCAATTTTTCTTTCAAGCTCATCAACAATGGCAGTGATTCCATCTTTGCTGCTATTTGTTCTTGTTTCATCAGACCTTGTTCATTTTTAGCTAAATTGAAGCGAATTCAGTATTGTAGATAGAAGTTTCATATCTCAATTGAACCAACTCTGAATGTGTAAGGCTCCAAAACCAACTGTAGATATAGCTTTGACCTTGGGGCTGGTTGAGGATACTATACACTAGGATTTTAAAGTGTAGCTCATAATTTTACCCTTTAGCAGAAGGATATGGGGATGTGTGTGTGTGTGTGTGTGTGTGTGTGTGTGTGGCGGAGGAAATGTCTGTGTATGAACGTGTGTCTGTGAAGAAACAGATTTTTCAAAAAGTTGGTTTTCCTCTGGACTGTTTGTAACCGACGTCATTTTAATTTTTATCATTATTGGCTGTGTTCGGCAGCCAGCGGCACAAGTTCAAGGTTTATCATTTGTTCTGATACTCAGTACTTTGGCTAGGTGGAATAAAATTTTATTTGGCAATTGACCTTTCCAATTTGGTAGAAGCCAACTTCTTGAGTGTACTAGTTCAGATTTTCTTTCTTTCCGTATTTTCTGAGGGATTCCCCGTCGAACGGCTCTCTTCCCTGTTATTTGTTTTAGGTGGATGCTCAAAATTAAGTTGGACACTAGTTAATTTCTTTTAATGTTCTGTGGTTCCATTAAGAATTCATGTTCTGGTAATGTTACCCTTCCGTTGAAGTACTTGGTTTCAAATGTTTTTGTAGAAGGAAAAAGGAAAAAGTTTTTTGGCATGACTGAAATATTGCTCGAGTTTTACACTTGCTTCAAGGCTGGTGTTACTTTGAATAGGTGTGCCGGTGTTAATCGAAAATACAAATTAAGCTAGATTCTGGTGATGATTCAAGACTCTGGATTGCCAAGTATTCTACGTTTGCTCATGTCCAAGGAAATATATACTCAGATGTCCAAGCAGCCAAGGGTAGAGATTAGGTTAAAAACTAACAAGTATATTATATTACTCTTGCTTTTCATCTCATTGTTGTTAATTACAGACCTTTTAAAATAAGTTTTTTATACAAATTTTGCTAGCTGCGCATTTTACACATCGAAACATATATCAATTATATTGTAATTGTTGGATTTGCATATTTAATATTTTTATACTATTATAAATAAATAAATAAATAATAATATTTTAAGTATAAATTAAGTTAGAATGTTCATATTTTAAATATTTCTCTTTACAATCAAATAAAGGTATGAATTAATTTTTAAAATATTATAAAAATATTTTTAATATAAATTTAATATTAACATTTTAAACTATATTTATTTATTAACATTTTATATTCTAATTATGACTATTAAAAAAAATTTGAGATTAGAATTAAATTTTAAATTTTTTTTAAATTTTGTTTGAAGTATTCAATTATATAATGAACCTACAATTCATTTTCCAGTTATAAACTAAATAATACGTAAAATATAAAGTAAGGTAAATATATATATATATATATATATATATATATTTGTATTAATAAAATTATTTATGATATATTCTGAAATATTGCTCTACTTTTACACTTTGCTTCAAGGCTGGTGCTACCTAGAACAGGTGTGCCGGTGGTAATTGAAAATACAAATTAAGCTAGATCCTGTTGATGATTCAAGACTGTGGATTGTCAAGTATTCTATGATTGTTCATGTCCAGGGAAATATATAAGATGTCCAAGCAGCCAAGGGTAGAGACTAGGTTAAAAACTAACGAGTATATTACTCTTGCTTTTCATCTCATGCTTGTTAATTACAGATCTTTTAAAATAAGTTTTTTATATAAATTTTGCTAGCTGCACATATCTTTTATGACGCAAAGTTTGTATTTTAGAAAGGAGAATCAAACTTATCAAACAATAATTTGATAAACTTCTCAATAAATACTTATAGAAAAAGAAATATAACATTAAATTTTTCACATATAAGTTAAAATATTCATGCAATACAACTTCTTCTAAAACTCTCAACCAATTTCTCTATAAGCATTTATATAAACTTATCAAGAGTCTAAACAGTAGAATTTTACATTTGGAAATATCTTATAAAATTCTTACTTAAGACAAAAAGCTAAAGACATTCTTACTATTGTTTAGCCTTAAATGTTGCAACTTAATCTGAGGGCACCTAGGGGTAGCAGCTGTATACTGTCTGTACTGAAAGTTGAAGATTTGAAGCAAGCTTGTATCTTCTGCCAAGGCGATGCACAGGGAATCGAGACTCGGTAATAAGATAAAAATTCTGTATTGATGAATTCCTTCTTCGAAGGAAAAAAAATGCAGTTTGTGCAAGAATATGCTATTCTCTAGCACTAGCAGGGAACACAAAATTCTCTAACAATACCTGTACAGCTAATACAATGCAAAACGGTTGTTAAATTCCCTACCAAAATCTAGAGACCGAAAAGAGAAGTTAAATATTCGGTCTCTTGTACACTAAAAAGAACTCAAAAGTTCATGACTTGGGAAGAAAGGTCAAGCAAGGGCTCAAGTGCAGTGTGATCAAACTTGCGAGCAAAGAGGTAACAAATGGACGTCATCTCTGTGTTATATCGACAAAGGGATCCATTGTTCCTTATAGACTGTAAAAATGCGACAGTTATGTTGGCTCTGCCATAGGTTGCGGGGTGAGGACCGAGCATGGACCAATCAACCCAGGTGACGGTTCTGTTTGAATTGAGCGAGCCATGGAACATGTTGAGGAAGGTTGGAATGTAATGCTCATCGGGGTAGCAAGCAGGCTTACAGTATTTACGGAAGAGGGAATAGTAATGGGTGTCAGAGACTATATAAACAGCGAGAGCACGGTTCAGTTCAAACCACTGAGAGCCTTTACGCCAGTGTCTAAGCTGAATATCAGGAAGCATACTGCGACTGTAGCGGCCACGGCCATAACGGGAAGGATCATCGTAGGATTCAACAAAGCTGTGGGAAGATTGAGTGAGATATCTGTAAACGGTAGGGAAGTTGTAGACTGGGATGCAACTCTCGGAGAGAAGAACAAAGCGGTCGTTTGAGAAGTCGAGAAGTGCATTGGCTAAAAGGCGCCTCTCAGCATCTGCCAGCGTGACAGTTCCCCAGGAAACATCCTGAATTGAGAATGGGTTAGAACAGTGGAGAAAGGAGGGGGATAAAGGGAGGGAGAGAGAAAAGGGTTTTTACCTGACTGGGGATGTTGCGTGCGTAGAAAGGGGAAGAGTGGGAAACGTTGAGACGGTAATGGGGAGGGGCGTGGACGTAGATGTTGAAGAGAGAGGAGTGGCCGTGGAAGAATCTCTCCCACAGGGGAAGGAGTGGCAAAGGACCCCTTGTCAGAAACATGAACGCCACTTTTGGTTTTCTTCTGTATCTGTGAGGATACTCTCTCTTCTGCGCCACCAACGACGCTCTCCACAACAGCTCCTCGTCGGACAGTTTGTGCTTCAGCTTGGAGGGGTGCAGGAACCTCTCCAAATCAACAAAACCTCCTTCTCCTTCTCTGCTATTGTTACTGCCACAATCCTTGTCGGATCGGGGTGACACGGATGGTTGCGGAAGAGGAGAAGTGGAGAGCGACATGTATTGGTAGGGCTGCGCAATGAAATGGGTGTTGATGTGAGAGCTCGTGGTTAGCCCGATCACCACTCCCCCAGCAAACACCACCAGAAAGGTTAGGATTTGGGCCAATCTCAGCAGCCCTGCGTGCTTCTCTCCTCCCTCTTCTCTCTCCCTCTGATTCCTCGCCATCTCGATCCTGATCGGTTCGCGGTTGGTTCCACTCTCACTCCAAACCAAACCAATCGATCGACCCTCCAATCGCAACTTTGAAACCCAATCAAATCAGATCAGAATGCATCGTTCAATCCCCCCTTTCTCCTTTTCCTCTCTTTCATGTACCATCTGCCACCTCACCCACCGCGCTTTCAAACTCTTTCTTTATTCTTCGCAACTCTTTAATACAATGATAATCCTCCTTTCTCTTTCTTAAAATACAAAAATAAAACCATGTCGTAAGCAAATTAATTATTCCAAATCATTCTCACGCGCCCCTGTTTTTAATTAAATTCACTCATTTTCATTGGTCCATGTCCACAAAAAACAATCCATTTCATTAAAATGCAGTAATGAAAAAACAAGACAAAATTCTAAAACAAACGGCTGCGGAAAAACAATTATAATACATGGACGTGACACGTAACGGAGTATTTGGACAGAAGATATGGACAAGCATGAATCCCGCCCCTCTTGTGATTTCCATTGCCCAATCCAAGTTTGTGAATCTTTCTATGTCCCTCTCCTCTTCTTTCAATTCAATTGTTTTTTCTTTAAGAGGGTTAGGGTTGGGAACTAAGTAAAGTTAGCTCAGATTTAGAATGTGGGATGTTGTTGGACCCTACCATTCCATCTCCATCCTTCTTTACTACTTTTCTTACATCCACTTTTCGGATAAAAATGAAAAATAATTATTAAAAAGTCAATCAGAAGGAAATAATAGAAGGGTAGTATTAATAGTATAGTTTTTTTTTTTTTTTTAACATACGTTCATCTTGGTGAGATAACTGTTAAGTCTTTTATAAGTGCTTTTTTCTACCTTAGAATACAGCACCATTCTCTTCTCCTGAAATCTGAAAGACAAGAGAGTATAATTTTCAATATTTATTATGGGTCATTTATATTAAATTTGATTAAATTTTGAATTTTTCATTAAAATATGATAATTTTTTAATCTCATCACAAAAATAGATTATACCCATCTATTTGAATAACATAAATGCTGAAAAGAGAAATATTATAGTTTTTTCAAATTATATGCATCTTATTTGCTTTATAATATTTTAAATGTTTAACTTTTAAATAAAACTGTTCGTTAATTTATGACATATTAAGATTTATTTTAATGAATAAACTAACTCTATTTTAATATTAGCATATTTGACCATAGGATTACCTTCTTTGTCAACAATTTAGTTTCTTTACAATGATAAATATAACATTATTTGTGTTCCCATTTATGGTGAAAATATTTTGCAAGTAATTTCCTTTTTAAATGTAATAAAAAATATTTAAAAGTTCATTTTTGTTAAGGAAATATATTGAATAATTGTCCAATCTCAAAATAATAGGTAAGCACATTAATTATTAATATTTAATTTTTATATATTTTAATTTTCTCTAAACAAAGCATTAGCATTTTTGGTATGGCACGAGTATAGATAAATATATAAATATAAATATTTTAAAGTTTCATGTTTAAAATTTTTTAATTTAACTTAATTAAAAAAATAATGTAATAATAATTAATAAATATTTATTATATTTAATGTTGATTGAAAAAAATTTAAGTATCGACTAAATAATTATTAATATAGTAAATAATATTTTAATTAAATAATGAATTAAAGAGAAAAATGTTAAATATAGTTTGATGTAAAAATTTAATAAAATTTATTTTATATATTTTAAAAATATATATTAAATTCAAAATGTACATTAATGTAGCATATTAAGTAATTTTAGATTGATCAAATTTAAAAACCTTAATTTATATGATAAAATTTGAAAATCTAATTATTGATTTTAAGATAAAATATTTAATAAGAAATGAATAAATGAGTGCAAGAATATATATAACTTATTTTGATATAATTTGAATCTTTTCTCTTGTGACATAAAAATATCATAAGTCTTATTTATACTTCATTAAAGGCTAAAATAAAAAATAGAAAAAGTTTAATAGTCATTATTCTTAGAGAAAAAAATTCATAAGACACAACTATTTATTAAAAAGTATTTGACTTATATATCTAAAGAGAGATCTACATGTCATATGCATATTTCTTTTCTTCTCTAGCTAATGCTCTATCTTCAATTTTATTTTCTTAAAATTGAGAAATGTCTTTTTATTTAATATTTTGATGATTTCATTATACGATAATTAATATTTTTAAGTATATTTAATTTTATTTTTATGATTAAAAAATATAAACATTGTCTGATTTTATAGATTCATTTTGAAAAACATAAGGATGAGTTGAGGATACAGAGAGGAGAGAGAGAAAATCGTTGTATTGGTGTTAAAAGAGATGAAAATGGATGAGAGGATAGAGAGAGGAATATCATCATCTGACCTCAAAGAGTCATTGCTTGTAATGAATGACGATAGGATCAATTACGGATCTAGATCCTCTCATGTTCTGGCATGAACATGAGCGTCCTGTCCAAATTCGCTTAAGCAATCTTTCAACGACTTAAGCAAATTTTCGCTTAAGCCTAACTTTTTTAGCTTAAGCGACTCATTTATGGAATCTTGGCTTCAAAGTGAGGCCAAGCGAGGCTCTGAGAATATTCGCTTAAGCGATAAATCACTGCTTAAGCGACTATGGAATCGCTTCATTTCGCTCAGGTGAACCTTGTTTCATATTAAGTGAATTTGGAACAGAGAGCCATGTCTTTCAAGATAGGTACTCGATTAAGCTATTTTATATTCACTTAAGCGAAGATGTTATTGGCTTAAGCGGATGCAAGCGAATTTATTTAAAATAAAGCGAATTTGGGACAAAGAGCACTGATGCATGGACCTATAATTCGCTTAAGCTAATTAGGAGTCACTTAAGTGAATGGCTATATAGCTTAAACCAACATTTGTGATGTTGCAGCGAATTTATAATCGCTTAAGCGAAAAAAAGGGCTTAAGCGAATTATGCAGAAATTGGAAAGATTATGCAGAAACTGACAACATGTCAAAATTTTACAAAATTGCTTACCAAAGTCAAATTCACTCATCCAGAAATAGTTAATTGTGGGAAAAAAAAAAAGAATAAAGAGTCCATTCCATTAATAGTCCACAATTGTTCGTAATGAAATATACACAAAAAGGATTCATTACTACATAGGCAATTCAAAAACAAAAAAAGCAGGGCCATTCTATTCCATTCCAGAAATTTCAATCAAATATCATCCAGGCTAGAATCATTGACATCATGAAGTGGTCCCTACAAGATAAGAAGATATATTAGGAACCAGCATCAATGATTAGACAATATAAAGTTAAGCTAAAAATTATTACTCTCAATAAATCTGTGAAACTTAATTGAGTTAGTAATGTGTGAGGGGGATCATAAGTTGGAGGTGCCAAACAATGTACTTCAACTGGATCACAAGCCATTAGTTGATATTCCTATAACATATTAACACCCATATTATTATATTATATGGTTATAATATGGAAGTTAACTGAATTGTATATATTTGGTATTCAAAATCATTATATAAAAGAACTTGAGATGTTGATTGATCTAAAATTGGAGTTCTGCTCTTCTTTCTATTTGCTTGTAGCTCAATCCAACTTTTGAAACGTTTATTGCCTTTCCTCTTAGTGCTTGATCGGAGCTTGAATCCCTTATGTTGTGTACCATTATTATTGGCCATAATTTGTGCATCATCTTTATCTTTATCCGTAAGACTGTTTGTTTGCAACTGAAGCTTTGTGATTTTGCTAACTAAGCTGTTAATATTGTCATCAACTAGCTGACAATATTCTTATGAAGTAGAAACGTTACAGGCCAACCTAATCATTTTACCTGCTAGGTGACGGTATTGACGTATGGTACTAAGTTTAGGATCTCCTTCTATCTCTGTTCCTTTGACATTATGAATAATCTCACTACGACCATGTGTTGTCCATCTCTTAAGTATGTATTTATCAAGGATAACTTTCACATCATTGGCTTCAAACACTTTCAATGCATGACAACAAAGTATGCCAAATGTTTCAAACTTCTTACAAGAGCAATATATAGTGCTTGAGGAAGGTTCAAATGTAACTGTCCATGATCTTTGTTGATGAACTTTAGTAATCACATATTCAATCAGAGGAGGAGTTTCAATCCTTTGTGATATGCTATAAGCTAAAAATTGAGCAAACTGGTGTTGGAATAAGTTAAATATTGTATGTGTGTAAACCTTGGCCATTTGTATTAAGATTGGTGAAATCTCATACTGCAACATGGCTAGCTTATGGTGGGAGTCGTACTCATGTTTCAGCTCATTGTAACGCTTGTCTTCAACAACTCGTTCAAAGTGAGCAAAGAATTGTTTGATACCAACACCAGGTTTCATACATGCCTTAAAATCAGAGTTTAAACTTTCACTTAATTGAGTACTTCGCATTCCAAGGGTGAACACATCCTTGAGATAACATGATGTCTATTTCTCCTTTATGGAATAAAGTGAAGTAATCCATGAATTTTCTTCAACATTGTATTCTATTATGAGATTTCTCCATACATCCTCAAACTCAATTGAAGTATCAAAGTCATACATGCATTTTTTCAAATATCTTAAAAAATGACTTTCTTCTTTCATCAAATTGTCAAGGTGTTTTATACTATTTTGCATTAAATGTCATGTGCATCAAGCATGATGTGTATGAGGCATTACTTGGACAATTGCCTTGGCCATAGCTTGATCTTGGTCTGTAAAAATTGTTTGAGGTTGTTTTCGATTGTGTGCTTCCAAGAATATCTCAAACAACCACTTAAAGGATTCTGTTATTTCATCATACAACAAGGTTGTCCCAAAGATAACAATACCTCGATAATGATTAAAACCTAAAAACAAGGCTAGAGGTCTATTAGCTCGGTTGGTGAAATATGTAGTATCTAATGATATGACTTCACCAAAACACCCGTAATCAATTACCATTAAGCAACCAACTTCTCCGTATAACATTCTCCTTTGTCTCTTAGACTTTAAATAATTTTTTGCATTCAGAGGAGATAGCCAACATTAGCTCGATGTCCTGCAAGTGTGCTCATTAGCTGAAATAAGGATTTCTGTTGCAATCCTGAGAACTCGGCCAAATTGATTTGATGAGCTTGAACTTCAGTTATGTTACGATGCGAAGCAAGCATGTGTGTTGTTCCTGGAAGTTGTAATAGATGATTATGATCTTCAACAAACTCAAATACAACATATTTGTTGTTGCTTCTCAAAAATAATGTTATTCTTATAAGACAACCAGTCCTAGTTTTTTCCTTGGGCTTCATCACTGTTCTTTTATCATCCTTTCGATGTCCCTCTTTACAACAAATATACCAACAAGATGAAATAACACCATCAACGTTTCGGCTATTCCAGTATTGTTTCCTCACACCAAATCCTGTTATTCTTCCATATTCACACCAATATTTCCATGTTGCTTCAAGAGTGTCAAACTGTAACCCAACACGCGGCTTCCATGCAACACCCATGCATTCCATTTCCTTTTTAACCCAAAAATTTAAAAAGAAACATCATAACCATTGATTCCTCAAAATGAATAAGGTAAATGAAAAACACAATGTGAAATAAATGTGCTTCTTTATATTGTCGTTTACGTTGTGAGATTGG